AGGAACGTAGTGCTGGCTGCTTGTTTTCATCAGTTCAGGAGCGAAAGCCAAAGAACTGATTTCAATTTTATTATTTTTGTGATTTGATGTACTGTGGTATTTCCAGTATTATGTGATACATCGAATAAAACCTTTACATTGAGGTGATACCAGTTCAGTATTCAAACATTCATTGAGCAATCAGGAAACAAAAACATTTTCTTCTTAAATACACTGGACCAATCATAGTTATTATTTTTAGTAATAGTAGCAGCAGTATTACTATTGTTATTCTTCATATGAATTAATTTTTCTTGAACTGCATAATTTGCTTTGCAAAAGCCTTTCTTTGTATTTTGTAGTTTTAATGAGAAGTGTAAGATTTGTCCTTGTGAAACATTAAAAAGTAGTAAAAACTGAAATATACCTCCATTCCTTTTATTTTTATTAAAGTTACAAATTTAAACAGAAAAAAATATTTATAAGTTAAGATATGTATGCATCATTTAAATTTGCAAGCCAACAACATAACATGAACATTCAATATAAAAAAGCTTTAAGTGCAAGAGACCAGGTTCTTTTAAAATGTTAATAAAATGTTCAACATAGTAGGATGATGAAAACATTTTTGTTGAAATCCCAATGAAATTGTTCTGGGAAAAGCAAAGTATCATACAGAGATTTTAGAAAGCTGCACAGTATAGCAAAAAAAAGTTAATTAATGCATTAACATTGTTACAACAAACTTTACTAGGATGCAAGTCTAGATGGATTCAACTTAAAGTAAATTTATTAACTGAATTTTGAAATCACACATACAAACTGAAATATTTCTAAAATGCTCAAAATATCTTGTGGCTCTATTTTACAATGATCACATGAAAAAGAAGACATTCCTTGCAGGGTTAGAAACATTACAAAAACTGATTCAATGCAAGTTCACGCAACAAATAAAGCAGTTTGCATTAGCCACTGTGTAAGTAAATTATTCAGAAAGAATCAGTTTATTCTTGAAAAAGTTATGCACCTTTTCACGAATTTCTTTTGTTTTCAATCCATAGATTATTGGATTTAATGTTGGGGGGAATATTAATGTCGAAACTCCCATAAATCTTCTTAAATGTGGTGAAATATTCTGCAGTCTGTAAGATATGATTGTAAAGAGGCCCAAGCACTCAAACAGAAGAAAAACAAAAAGATGTGTGGCACATGTCTGCAGAGCTTTCGCTTTGGTGTCAGACTGTCTGGATCTAAAGCATGCAATAAGGATGCGAAGATATGTATAAAAAACCAGACCATTAGCTATCACTTGTGTAACAGCACTTATAAAAAGACCATACATGTTATTAATGGTTGTATCTTCACATACCAAAGTTAACAAACTTGGATTATCACAGTAGGAGTGTGTTATTTCAGATCTACAGCGGCACAAACGCAAAAGAAGGATGAAGAGCACAGCTATTAAAACCACACAAGAAGACCAAACTAATATAATTATTTTCATTATGTGAGCATTAGTCATTACAGTGTTGTAACGCAAAGGGTGACAAATGGCAATGTATCTGTCATAGGCCATTGCAGTCAGGATGAACACTGAACCAGCTGCATAGATATGGATAAAAAAAGCTTGTATAACGCAAGCTGAGAACTGAATCCTTCTGCTGTTTGTCAATATCTCCTTAATGAGGTGTGGAAAGAGTGCTGAAGAACCTATAAGGTCATTGATGGGAAGATTCACCAAGAACAGATGCATTGGCTGGTGCAAAGATTTGTTCAGCACAATGGTGAAGATAATAGTCAGGTTACAGAACAGGATGACCATGTAGTTCAGGGATGCAAAAAGGAATGCAGGGAAGACGCCTTCATGAGGGAGATCGTAGCCTTTAAGCTGTAAGAGATCTGATGTATTATGCCCTTTGTCCATCCTTTCAGTTTCTCAAAGTGTGAATAAAAATCTATTTAACAAGCTCTGTATTTACAATATCACAATTGCAAGCAAAAAGACATCAGAAGACTGCAGAAGAACAGAGAGTGGTGGCATAAAGTAAAACCTTAAAATAACATTGATTCTGATAAATTTCCAAACTCTACAAACAATTCGCACACGATTTTTAACTTATTTACCACTTGAACATAATTTCAAATAAATCACGAGAAACAGAAAAATCACACAGTCTGCACTCATTCATAAAACAGAGAACATTTTGCATTGTTGCCTATTGACCAGTTGTGCTGATGTACAACTTTCTAGAACTAATAGGCAAGACATTGGAGGCAGTGCGATATTTATTTTCGATACAACTCCCAAGGCAGTCTGTCTTTTTTCTTACAATATGTGGTTGACAGGGTAACTGTCAGGGGTTAGAAACTGTCTCTGTGTAGGTTAACTTTTGCTACTAGTGCTCTGTAATACAGCCTTGAGGGTAAAAGTCTAAATAACCGATGACCGGGATGTGTTGGGTCAACAGAAAGCTGCCCTTTTGCTGGCCGTGTACCGGTCATGAGTAGAGGAAAGGTCAGATAATCCTGTCTGCAGACATGATTGTTCATTGCTGTTTGGACCCATCCTGTTTTGTGATTGAGCTAAACCACACAGAGACGGATGACCACAAAACATAATTATTTAGAAAATACGACGGCTGTAGATTGTAGGGTGCTATGGCTACAATTAAATCCATATTTTTCAACTTTTCTTGAGATCATATGTTTTCCAATGACAAATGGAAACAAGGATTTGGTTTAATCAGACCTTTCATCAATGTAAAACATGTATTTGGACCATTAACAATTAAACAATGAGTATTTTTTGTTGAAGAGCATTACCGCATTTGAATAATGTTTTCAACTATACTGTAACAAATGTCTGTAAAAACTACAGCATGAAAATACAATAAGGTGGCATTGTTTTGAAAATACAGCTCTTTCTTGTGATCTGAAATGGTGAGTGGAAAGTATATGGGACGTGATTGAACCGCTGGATTACGTGCAGAAATTTACAGCTGTGCTGCACCAACAAATTAAAGGTAAATGGAGGCATCCACTTTCAAACTTATGTCATATAAAACAGAAAAAATGTGCAACTGCGTTGAGTCATTGAAAAGAAAATATAAAACGTTTATGCATCCTTGTCCAAAAATGTACATGCTCATTTTGCACAATAACCACAAGAGGGCAGCATATTTCAAAGTAAAATGGAGAGGCTTACGTTTTCATGACTGAATGATGCATTGGGTAACCAGTGTGCAACCGTTGGTGTGCATAAATTGTACTGTGATACATAGTTGACTATATATTATTTCTTTAATTGTATTTAGTGGGTACCTTTAAACAATTTCATCTCATTTTATGAATTGTGCCTCAAACAACATGTTAAGGCCACATAAGATAAAAGCAAAAACAGCTGCTTTTTGAGAACTTTATTCAGTCGTTGTACTTAAAATAGGGATTTAATTTTATTGTTACAATTTTGTCCAATTGACACAGTTAATTAAATCACCTATTTGAAAAAAGAAAATAAATGGATATGTATCTCATGAGCTAAAGATGACATTTTGTTCTCATTCTCATATTACACTGTTAAACAATAAAGTTATTAGGAAGCTGCACAGTATAACAAATGAAAAGCAAATTAATGCATTTGCAACAGTCCTCATTGAGAAACAGACTATTAAAAACAGTTTTTTATTAAATGTATGAAAATGCTGCTTGTCATAATCAGATGTGACATTTAATAAATTTGAGAGCAGCAAAAGTAAGAAAATTAGCAAGAATCTTAAATTACACCTAAAATGTTTGCAAGAAACTCTTTTTTTAAATAAGTCAAATGTGGAGAAGTGGAATTTAAATATATGATAATTATCTAACATTACATTTCACAACTATCACTCAAATGATAATTACATTTAAACCTTCACTGCTACAGGCTTTTTTCACATCTACAAAGTAAAGAAAGAAAGCCAAACCATCCCAGGTGCATCTTTAAAACTTGAGTAATAAATTATTAAACAGTTGTACTTTATTTCTGAAAACGTTTGCTACTTCTTCACCAGTAGTTCAGTGTGACCTTTGGATTGTTCTCCATAAAATTCTTATCAGTTTCTGTGGCCTCTGCATGACACCTTGCAATTCTGTTCTTCATTGGTAAAACATTTCTTTTTCTCGCTCTCTTATGAAGCTCTTTGTCTTCTCTTTGATGGCTTCTCAGGAAATTTTTTACTTTGCTAATCATTGACTTTTTTTCCAGAACTCCTATGCGCTCCCACTTTTGGGGTGAAATAATCATTTCTTGAATTTATTTGTTTTTTAAAGTAAATCAACTGTTTTATGAACCCTCCTTCCATAAACAGATGTGTTTGTAGTTTTAGGATTAGACTCTGATTCAAAAACCACACGCAAAGCATACAATTATTTATTTATTTTTTTTAATTATTAGCAATTATTACTTTGTTTTTCAGATGCCAGAGCAGGAAAATTGTTGCAGGACTAGATGAGGTAAGGGAAACATAAAGATGAAACAAAATGTCCTTTTAGGTTGCACATAAACAGTATACCAGCACAAGCCTTTATCACAATGCAATAAGTGTCTGTAAAAAAAAATCAATGCATGACTCATGTTAACAAAAGACCTAAATATCAGTTTATTTACAATCTGCCCCAACTATTTTTATTCTTAAACAGAAAGTAAATTTTATTGCAAGTGTTTCCACACACTGAACACACATTGTTCTTTAATGCTTCCTAAATAGCCCAGCGAATAATATATTTAGTAGGAAGAACTGATTAACATGTCCACGTTAGTACATATTCTAGTAAAACTTGCTGTGACACAATGGCAGCCCTCAAATGTAACTTCGCTATTCAGAAATACACACTACACTTAAGTGGCTTGAGATACATAAACAAATATAACAGTCTACGATTTCATACAATGATCTACAGTGAAAAGTATATTTGGTGAGACTAAAAAAAAACCTTAAAAATAAATGTTACCGTTTTGAAAAGGTCCAATTTAACACAATGCATTAATAAAAAAACAATTTCCTTCTAAAAAATGTCATGATTTTTTCCCGAATTTCTTTTGTCTTAAGTCCATAAATGATTGGGTTTAATGTTGGAGGGAAAACTAATGTTGACACTCCTAGGAATCTCCTTATGTGTGGCGGAACATTTCTTATTCTGTATGATATGATGGTAAAAAGACCCAAGCACTCCAGTAAGAGGAAAACTAATAAATGTGTGGCACACGTCTGCAGAGCTTTTGCTTTAGTGTCTGACTGTTTCGATCTAAAACATGCAATGAGGATCCGAAGATATGTATACAAAACCGTTCCATTAGCTATTATTTGTGAAAGAGCACTTATAAAAAGACCATAGATGTTATTAATGGTTGTATCTTCACACACCAAAGTTAACAAACTCGGATTATCACAGTAAGAGAGTGTAATTTCAGATCTACAGCGACGCAAGCGTAAAAGAAGAATGAAGAGCACAGCTATTAAAATCACACAGGAAGACCAAACTAATGTGATTATTTTCATTATGTGAGCATTTGTCATAACAGCGTTGTAACGTAAAGGGTGACATATGGCAATGTATCTGTCATAGGCCATCGCACTAAGAATGAACACTGTGCCCGCTGCGTAGATATGGATGAAAAAAGCTTGTGCGATACAAGCGGAAAGCTGCATCCTTCTGCTGTTTGTCAATATCTCCTTAAGGAGTTGTGGAAAGAGTGCTGAAGAACCTATCAGGTCATTAATAGGAAGGTTCAGCAGGAACAGATGCATTGGTTGATGCAGAGATTTGTTCATAACAATGGTAAGAATTAAAGTGAGGTTGCAGAAAAGGATTATCATATAATTTAGGGTTGCTAAAAGGAACGCAGGAAAGACGCCTTCATAAGAAATGTTGTAGCCATTTAGCTGTAAAACAGATGTGTTATCTAGACTGGACATTTTTCAAGTTGTTCATCGCATAACAACATCAAATTTATAAAACAAAGCATAGTTTAAGCATATCATCACTTTTTCAGCTCACAGAATTTACATTGCAATCCATAAATCACATTTTGGATCTTGAGCATACCTCTAAATCTTTTAGACCGACAATAAAAACTTAAACAACCAGAGATGAGCAGCCCTTCCAAACAAATTTCTTTCACCAAAAAAGAAAAATAAATCTGTTTTTTTGTGGTGTGGCTGGTGATCAGTTGAGCAAGTGCACATGTTTTTAATAAATAAATGGTGTCGAGAAGTACTCCCGTATTTATAGGTGTAATTACGGTTGAACAGCACCTGATTCTCAGAGGTGTTATGGGTTTTCAATGGGTTTTTCTTTAACATTGATTCTCAAGGGAATCTGGGAAAACATAAACATGACAACAGTTAGTAAACCAGATTTCTACATTTTAACACATATAGAAATACTGCTTTGTTTCTAAATGGTTGTAAAAGCTCATTGAGGCTAATGTAGGATACATGAACATATGAGGTTATAGGTGCAAAAGGGGAAAAACAAATGTATTTTTCCCCAGGCATAAAACTTGTTATTTAAACCAAAGTCCACCAAGTGCAATAATATGCATGGAGATTGAACTATATGTAGTCTCAGTGTCATCCTCTTTGTTAGTGAACCTCAAATCTATATTTTTCTTGCTCCTTTACAACTTTTGGTTATGGGATTCTGTGTATGTTTTGCAGGCCAGGAACTTACAGTACACCTGGAGAAAAAGAGGCACAGCAAGCGCTGTGTTTTTATACAACAAGTGACAAAGTTGTACTAAGCTGTACCTACCGCTGCAACCAACAGAAAAATGCATCTGCCTGAGAACCATTTGATCGATGAGAGAGACAGGTTTAGGAAATACAATGCAGAACTAAAAGAATTTCCCAACTCAAAATTCTCACAGACATAAAGACAGAATCCTAAATAACCTATTTAAACAGTTCATCAGCAAATACAGTTACTTTGGGAGTCAGTATAACTTTACGTGCTAGTTAATGATCATAAAATCTGTTTTAATATTTTAAAATTATGTCAGATACAGACAGAAGAATAAATTTATGTGCAAATGCTGGTATTTTGAAGACTACATTAAATGATGTAATTACAAAATCAATTTAAACAGTATACAAATTTTTCAAACCGTATTTATTGCTTCTTTTTCAATTTAGACAGATGAAACTACCACTTCAGGTAGGTGATGTATGTTTTAAGTACTTCCTGTTAGAATACATGGTGCTCACCATATCTTCACTTGACCTCCGAGTGGAACAAAACGTTCAGCTCGAGAGCAACACAACAACAAAACTTGTGAAAAACTCATCACCACCAAGGAATCCCAAGACACTAACTTTGCATTAGTGAGAAACAAATATACAGAAGCATTCAGCACATTTCATTACAGTCGCAAATAAAAAAAAAGATAATGGAAAAACAAACACAGCAACTAACCAATAAACTAATTTAGTCTAATTTACTATGAGAAATTCTTCAGTAGGTTATGCAACACAAGTCCTGAGGAGCATTAAAATAATGAAAAAACAAAAAAGAAGATCCTGTGACAATCAATTCTAAGCACCGGCATAATTATCAAAATGTATACCCAAACAATCAATAAAAATAAAATAGGTGTCACAGAAGTAACAAACTCCCTTTGATAATAAAATCCACACAAAAAGAGGAAAGCTACTTTGTTGGTCCCATTTGCCTTTTAAGAAATTCTATTATACTTTTTTTCAGTTCTTTGGATTTAAGTCCATATATTATTGGGTCCAAGAGGGGTGGAAAGATCAGAATAGACACCCCACAAGCCCTTCTGAGAAAAGGGGATGCATTCTCAAAGCGATGAGAAATGATTGTAAAGGCACTATTAATTTGCAGGACTAAAAAAACGACTAGATGGGTTCCACATGTTTGAAACGCTTTTTTTCTGCTGTCAGTGTTATTATTCATAACGCATGTACGCAAAATCTGTGCATATGTGTAACCTATTATTAACAGTGAACCTCCATTTAAAAAGCATGTTATGAATAGTCCATAGTAGTTGCTTACACGGTTGTCCCCGCAGGAAAGTTTTTGAAATGTTGGATTGTTACAATACAGATCCTCAATCTTTGTCCTGCAAATGTTAAACCGTAAAGTTAAAGCAAACAGAATGGTCATAAGCAAAAAGTCTAAAAACCATATGAGAAAGATTATTCTGATAACAAAATTTGAAGTCATGATAGTATTATACTTAAGTGGACTGCATATTGCAATGTATCTATCATATGCCATAGCACTTAATATCAGAAGGTTTCCAGCACCATACAAATGAATGAGAAAAGCTTGAGTTATACATGCAGAACTGGAGATAATTCTGTTCTGTGTCAAAATGCTGAAAACAAGCTGAGGGAAAAAACCTGATGCACCGAGAATGTCACTAATGGGAAGATTAATAAGCAGGAGAAACATAGGTCTATGTAGACTTTTACTCAGTGCAATTGTCAATATGACCAGTGAATTGCAGAATACAATAATGAGATAGGTAAGTGTTCCAAATAAAAATGCTGGATAAATATGGGTTGGAGGTAAGCCCAGGGTTGCCAGTATAAAAAATTTCACTGAAGATGAATTGGCAGACATGTCTCCTGTTTTTTCTCTTCTGGTATCACTGTTGTTGCGAAGAATTGCAGCCTTTATCTTTCCTGATGATGTGGTATTCTGACCTGAAATGAGAAATATTTTTCAAAGCAAAACCTACATTCAGTGAAATGTTTAACACCTGTGAGTTCTTACCCTTTGCAGTCCGCTTCGTCATCCTCACCAGTTCTATCATGGAAATTATTCGCTATTTATATAAGCCGCAAGCGACCCATGAGAGAGTGTGTGAGATTAAAGACGTGTCTTACTAAAAATAACATCAAGTACAGACACCTAAACAAATCCTGCAAACATAACCCTACCCAGCATATCCAGCAAACTTTTCCTTGCAGGGTCTCAAAGGTTACAAATTCTGACAAAACAATAAATACAACAAATACAACAAATAATAACATGTTCAGAAGCAGGTCTTTTATGTGGCTTCATGTAAAAATATTTATTTAAACCAGCAAAGTATGATATGTGTTAATGTGCCTTCTTGTGGATACATATAACAGAAGAAACCAAATTTAATTTTGTTAAAATGTTACTTAAAAATGTTATATTTTTATGTGACAAACACATTTTCGTCACGTAAATGTGTTTGTACAGCACATTTACTACAAGACAGTTCAACATGCTATACATGATGTCTATGAACAACAAAATAACCAATTATGTTGGGAAGAGCAAACATGCAACTAATATTACTTTGTGTCAAATATTATCAAAATATCAAAATCAAATACAGAAAAGGAGACTAAAATTAGTCAATATTTCCATTATTATTAATTAAAGACAATTTTGATTGTTGGGTTTTTCGCCTTGATGTAAACCCAAGATATTTTAATATCTTTGCAGTTTTCTGGAAGTTTGTTCCAATAATCATGATGCATAAAAACTGAATGCTGTTTCTTTGTGTTTAATTCTGACTTTGGGAATGCAGAGTAGATTTGAACCAGAAAACCTGAAGGTTGATACAGTGACAAGAGGTTTTTAATGTATTTTGGGTTCAAACCATTCAGTCAAACAAACAAAAGTGTTTTCTAAAGTCTGTTCTCTAAACTTCATTGAGCCAGTGTAGGGACTGGGTCGGTGCGCTTTATTTTCCTAGTTTTAGAACATGAGCAGCATTCTGTATCAGCTACAGCTGTCTGACTTTAAGACAGACCTGTGATCAATTCAAGTGATCAGTAATCATTTATCGATGCGTTTTTTTAACAATCTTATTGGGACAATAGCAATGTTAGAAGTCTGACTTTGTACCTGTCAGCTTTATGTGTCCATGAAGGTTCAGGTCTGAGTTCATCACTACGCCCAGATTTCAGATCAGGTCACAAGTTTCTGTCTTTAATAATTGAAGCGGCTGACTCTTGATTGTTCCTCTTTAGGTCCAAAGATAAACTGGACTTTGGGATACCTCAGATATGATTAATGTCTGCTCCGGTGAGAAGTTACCTATTGATAAAGAAGAAAATCCACGTTCTTTAGGTAACACTTGAACCAGTGTACCACAGAATCCAGCCCAGCTCTATGGTCGTTTAAATAATCCGTCATGGTCAACCATGTCAAATGTTGTGCAGAGGTCCAATTGTGGTTCTTCTATAGTTTGTATTGATGTGGAAATCACTGAGCACTTTGAGAAGGGCAGTACTGTGGTGACCTTAGAAACCTTGGCATTTATTTTAAGAATCAGCATAATTATCTGGCATTAACAGGAGCTTTAACTTGCAAGTCCCACATGTTTTATAACATGTCTGACTAATATGGATAAAACAGATCAACGTTGCTGTACTTGGTTTAGCCTTCATGTCTTGTTGAAAGTGTAACTCTCTCACTCTTGCTGCCCAAATCAACTGTTTGCATGTTAGCATTAGCTTTTTAGTCATTAACTCCCTTTGGAAAAAGAAGATTGGATTTTTTAAATTATTATCATTATTATTATTATTATTATTATTATCTCTTTTTTTTCTGGCAAGTCACCAGACACAGCCAGTCAAACTGAAAATCATCCAATTTCAGTCTACTGTAGAATTTTCTATGCATTCCTTGAAGTACATTTTCTATTTTGAGAGGACTCCCTTCAGCAGTGTAAATCCACATGATATTATTTTCTTTCTTTAGATTCTAGTCTGCTTTGCAGATTGCTAATTTGGATTTTTCTATCATGATTCAGTATCATTTCAAATGTGAATTGAGCTTCATGGCCTAATTTTACCTCAACTGTACTGACCCACAATGTGAACCTTTTTGTAGGCATCTGGAGTAATCATAAAAAAATAAATGATGGTGACTTTGGACTTTGTTTTAGAAAGTCAGTTTTCATTATAGA